ACACACACACACACACACACACACACACACACACACACACACACACAAATATTCAAACAAATACCCACACACACAACTCTAACTCATATTACAATTACAGAAATGAAAGCTAGTTTTCATTGTAGCAGTTATTGTTAATGCTAAATATATGCCAAATATGGTACTTTGGCATTTATGCAGTCTATTATTTTTTTTCTTACAGAAAGCTTGTTACAGTGGAAAAGCATGATAATGGAGCATTTGGATTTGAAATTCAGGTGGGCAGTTTTTAAACATTATAGATTTCTGGGGGGGGGGAGGGAGAACAGGCACCAATTACATCATGATATCTGCAAAGAACAATGAAGCTAAGGTAGGGTTAGAACGATGATGGGGACTGGATTTGGTTTTATTTTATTTTATTTCAGTGTTTTGAGGCCCACCAGGGAGAAAACACTGAAGTTTATTAGATATTTCCCTTGAGATGCACTTCTGACCTTGTGCTCAGCCACTACAGTCTTCCTTAAGGATAAGTCCAAACAGAGATGCTTCCTGTTTCAGAACTTTAAGTGGGAAAGCTAAGGGCATTTATAAAAATTCGTTTTCATATAATCATATTCTTATATTGTATGCAAATCAGATTCTAAGTACTTAAACTGGGCACGCCCAATGACACCTCTCACCAGCTCTACAAGGTTGCCTAGTGATAGCAACTGAAAACCAGATGACTACCTGCCCATCTGGTTTTCCCTTCCCTCTCTGGTAGGATGCACATCGCTGCTTCCTTCTTCCTCACCACAAGTGTGTGTGTAGAACCAAAGTCAAAATTGTCCTTCCTAGACAACAGGTCACAGAGATATGAAAGCTTAGCAGCTCAATGAGATATGATGGTGTCCCCTCTGAACTATATCACACACGATATCTCAGAAGTCAATGAATTGCAGGCTTGACAGTTTCTTTCTGGGCCAACAAAAAGTACAGGAATGGGAGGTGTGGAGAGCAGTTGGGGTCATGTTACTTGATCAAGCATTCTTTTCTGTGCCTTCATGGCTTCTGGTGTTCCCTTTCTATCTCTAATCGCCACGTTTACAGTTGTGGTTCACAGTGCATTTGCTGGCTATGTAAATCGAAGTGCTTTTCATGCTCTGTGCTCACTTTGATACCTGGGGGGTGGAAGGTGGGTGTCCCTGTTGGTGGGGGTTGCCAGGACAGTGGCTTCTAAAATGTCTCTCAGTTCACATGTTGGCTGCTGCAGCATGTGAAGTAGGTTGGCTTCCATTTGTAGAGGATCTGCTCTGTGGCGTGGTCTGAAGCAGAAAACTCTCTGAAGGTTTCTGAAATAGCTGGAACCTCGGTTACAGGCTCCTCTGCTTTTCAAACAGAGGGTTCTACAGGCGTTACAGTTGAGTGGAAATCCCTCTGCATTTAACAGAACCAAGTGGCCAGCCCTAGAAATGATCTGCATGGGTCTGGTTATGGTCTCAGGTGCAGATTTCTCTGGAAGACAGCAACATTCAGGCGTGGCTTAGGTTTTTAGAAATCAGATCTTTAAAGGACAACAACAACAAAAAACAAAACAAAACAAAACAAAACAAAAACAAAAACAAAAACAAAAAAAACCCAAAACACTGATTTGGATTCTAGATGGAACTTGATCCCACAACGCAAATGTTTTAGAAAGAAAGCATGCTTGTTTGGAGTTATGGAAGTGCTATAGGTAGCAAATGTGTACTTAGCATTTTTCTACATTTTGAGGTTAAAAACTAAAAGCACCAACAATAAAACCCAGCACCTCTGAATTATTTGTGTCAAAATGAGACACCTGAAGAAGCATGTCTCTCTCTCTCTCTTTTTGTTAGTCAAATGACTGAGGAACTGGTGAGAATCCAGGACAGGAGGGATCTGTGTGCTCCAAAGTGAAATTGATTGAGTCACTTAGATCATTTAGGACAAGCACAGGGCAGAACATCATTATCTGCAGAACTCTGATCTAATATAATCACTGTTGGCCCATCTTCCTGCTGGGTATTTTATATCTCAGACTCTCTCTTGAAAGACAGACCAGGATCATTTCCTTTACACTTGGCTGCAATTGTTTCATTCCATTTTTTTTTTTTTTATGAATGGAATTAGCTGTCGATTATCTGGTGGAATTGCAAAATTGGTTTAGTGAACAGCGAGGAAAGCTTTTTCAAATTGTCCATTGCGCTTACCTGTTATGCCACTTAAGGCTGTTGGCATGATTTTATGCTTTGATGGATATTTGTTGACTTTTTTGACATATCTACTGATGTTTATAGACCTACAGGCTCCAGAGTCAGAATGTCTGCTCCTCAGAAGTATGCACTATGATCTGCAAAGTACAGGAGGACAGCCCCGCTCACTGCTCTGGCCTGCAAGCTGGTAATGTAGTTCTGCTCATGCTAAAAGCCATCTAAATAGCAAGAAACTCTTTGATAGTGAAGGTTAGGAAGCAGTTGTTTTGAATTTCTTGAGTGACACTATGGTTTCGACACTTGCTTGTTTGGCTTCATTTCTATGTTAGGAGCTTAGTTTAAGTAACTAATAAAAATCCTCTTTTTTTTCCCCCCTTGGCATCTCCCAGGTGACATCCTTACAAATATCAATGGTGTGTGCACAGAAGGCTTTACACACAAACAAGTGGTTGACCTGATCCGGTCGTCAGGAAATCTGCTAACGTAAATATCCATTTAGTTGCTATGGGGTTTCAAAGATGTTTGGGTGTCTGAGGATGCCTGATGAGTGACTGAGTAGAGTTTTCTGTGGTTTACCAGAATGAAGGCAGCATCTACAGGTTTGGGATGGGTACTGACATCTTTGTGGGCTCCTTTTTTTTTTTTTAATCAAGGCTTCATGAGTTATGAATATATTGTCAATATCTGAAATCAGGGGTGAGGAGTAGACAAAAACTTTGTGGGAAGACATCATTTATTAATGTATTTCTAATATTTTATTCAATAAAACTGGCACACACTTATTAGGACCAAGAGAAATTAGTCCTGTTTCCATAGTTCATGAAATCTTTCAACTATAACGTTTTTCTCTCTCATATGCCTCAAGCTTTTTATTTTTCTGTTACATTCCATAAGAAATAATAAAAATAAGTTTCGTCAACTTTCCTCACCTTTGAATATACATAGTTACATGTATTAATGTTCCACTTATCAGAAGACACTGGTTTTCCCAGCTAGTTGATAGGTTTAATCTTTAAGATTGAGATTAACAATCTTAAGGAGATATAGCTACAAAAGCACCCATTGTTACCGACAAAGTCATAATTGTCTAAGAAAATTAAAAAAAAAAAAAACCTCAAACCATTGGTCTTGTTTTCACTGTGTCCCCAAAAGCCCAATAAGACTTAATAATCAGTTACAACACAATTCTTTATTGCATGAAAATCATATGTACTAAACAAATATCAAGTTTCTATCTGTGTGTTCTAAGGAGGCAAAAACCAAACACTGTTGAACTCTAAAAATTATAGATTTCTAAGGAAAGCCTGACTTTTTTTATTACAATTATTGACAACCACTCTAAGAAAGGTAGACAGGCAACTACACTGATTAAGACGGTGGCAGCTGAGCTTAGATAGTCAAAGTGCTTCACTTCGCTCAAGTACAGTTGGGCCCGAGACTAAACATATGGGAGAAATGGCCATATAAACTCCTGGCAGAAATATGTAGGTAAAGAAAGATGTCTTTCAGCCCTGGAAATGGATTTGGCACATCTCAAGGAAGTGGTGAAACTGGTGGCTGGTGGATTAGGGAGAAAGCATGAGTGGTGAAGTCACAGTTGGCCAAGCATCAGATCAGGAGATGCCTTGCTGTGCCAGGGCATTTAGAATTATTATGAGTTAGGTGGTTTCAACATTACCTAATTTCATTTTTGTTTTTGTTTTTTCTTTTTCCTTCACAGCCTCTTTGTCAGTCCAGGTTTGTTCATTTATGTAGATGAAGTGCCTGGGGCTAAAGAAAGGTTCTTAAGTTCACTGAGTATTGAGCGACAATGGGATCCAGTCTGTTGAGGATGTCAGGGTTGGCTTTTTCCAGTTACGGCTGTTCAGTGTGAACTGCCTGTAGAATCTACCAGATTTTTCACTTAATACTTCAAAGAAAGTACTGGGTGGGTCAGTCGAGGCAGTTTAAAAGATGATTGATGATGGCAGAGCTTAGGCCAACCCCTTTAGTTCTTAGGGGTAAAAGTTAGGATAACTCTTGTCTCAAAGAAACCTAGAACCATATAGACTCCAACAGAAAACGGTATTGGTTAGAGTCAGAAAAATAGGTCTCATGTAGATGACGCAAGAAGACCACAGGTAAAAAAGGGTATAGAGAGAGTTCCTAGAAATCCACAGGTGTGTAAAATGTGAGACAGCGTGAACGAATACTGAATTGTCCATCTTTACAGTTGTGCGAATCTGTTGCTTACATAGATTAGAACAACACTGAAAGTCTCATGTAGCTTCATAGTGAGTCTATTGTCCAAAAGACAGACATTGTCTCAATCAGAAATCAAACAGTGTTTGTCAGACTATCATCTTATTATATTGGGTCTATGTTGGAAGAATAGAGAAAAGATGGTTTCACATTTCATCCTCTTTCCTTGTTATTTTTTTCTCACACTTTCATAAATATAGCCAAATATAGTAAAAAAAATTAGAACAAATACTTTAATGTGTTTAAGATTGTGATTCCAAGCTATCACACTCAAGTGGAGGATTTGTCTTCGAAACAATGGTCAAAACAAACCAATTCCAGAGAGAACAAACCTAGTTTTAGAAAATCTTTGATTTGAGAAGAGAACATTATTAAGCCGATAATCCTAGATTGCCATTTGTAGACTAAAGGTTTTGAGATTAGTTATAGTTGCAGAAAAAATTTCCATGTTTCAAGGAATAGCACATCGAGTCCACTGTTGTGGAAGTCCTGAATACTATCTTCCTTCCTTCCTTCCTTCCTTCCTTCCTTCCTTCCTTCCTTCCTTCCTTCCTTCCTTTCTTTCTTTCTTTCTTTCTTTCTTTCTCTCTTTCTTTCTTAACCATCTGGCTCATAGTAGATGCCCAATATTCACCAAATGACTGAGATTATTCAGATTCAGCGAGAACAGAATCTGGTGGAGAACAACCATCATTAGCATGGAGAGCCTTTCAGAAAATTAGCTATGGTTTGTAAATTAACCACGATCTTTTGCTCCACTCTTTGATGGGCAGTTTTTAATCTCCTTTTCTTTCCTCTACTCTGGCTGGGAAATTTGGCTTAGGTCCAGATACCCAAGTATCCACACTCCATAGTCAAAAGCCTAAGAAAGGGTGACATTTATGTTGTGTTTCTAGTATGCTCTGCTCTCCACATGCAGTGATTCATAAAGATGGCACCTCTTTGAAGATCCCTGTTTGAAGATAGCTCTGTTATTTACTCTCACTTTTCCCTTCCCTTAAAACAGGATAGAGACTCTTAATGGAACAACAATTCACAGAAGAGCAGAACTTGAAGCAAAACTGCAGGCTTTAAAGGTAATTTGATTTAACTCAGCACGACATCTTTCATCCTTGAATGTGTGAGTAGTAGAATAATGATCTACCTGAGGAACTGAGATAGCCCTTGAAGGGAAAATGTCAGGATGCATCTAAACTACTGACTTGTCAAGGGCCACACAATTACCTTTGCGGGACTATCTAAGACTGTCAATATGTGTAAATCACCCTCTTCTGTCCTCATTCAGAGTCTATGAGGCTCAGAAAGCCAGCGGGAAGGCATATTACCTGAAGAACTATTCAGTGATGCACCTGTGATCGCTCTTGATTTACATTTTGTTTAAGGAGGAAAAGGAGTAAGAGTTAGTGTTGAGTGCTGCAGAATGCTGGTGCGCCCGCCACCTGCCTTTGCTTTTCCAGTGTCCTCCTTTGTCTCCCTTCCTTCTTTCTGCAACCAAACTATCTACCACTAACCCTGTGGCCGTCCTTGAATCTGCTTCTACTGGCAAACATACTATTACCTTGAAAAGAAAGAAAAAATGTCACAAGTGACAGTGCCTAATGCAAGATTCTCAGCACAAATTCCCTGGCATGGCTTGTCAAAGGTTTTCAAAATTTCAGTTCTCCAGCTTGGTAAGTCTACCAGGCTGTGAATTCCAGACACTCACTGAGTGAGTAAAAGGTGCTCCTCCCAGGTCTCAGCTGAACATCTCATCCCAGTACTCCTCCTGCAGGACATGGAGCCACCTCTGTCCTACTCAGAGATGGTCTGGCTACAGGCAAGCTTACTTGTACTTTGTAAGAGCCTGAATTCAGTAGGTCTTCTCATGAAGTACACTTATTAATAAATGGTTTCAAGGGGACAGTTCACTGTATTCATGTTTTATCTGGAATCTTTCTCTTCCACTATGTTCATTCACTAGCAAGCCTTTTTAATACTGGCTTTGACATTCGTGCCTTGGTGCCATTCCTGTTATTTTTAAAAACCATTAAAAAAATCATTGAAGAATACCCTTTGCTCACATTTTGATAGGAATTAAAGTTTGTTCATAAAGTAAGTGAGATAAATTGAAATCTTTGAATATAAGTTTTCTATTTTTATTCAGTATTTCGTAGACTGTACAATAGCTTCCTTCAAACATTTTCAAATGCATTCTCTAGCTTTAAAAAGCTAACCCTTTTTATTTTGTCTTGTTTTTTTTTAAGTTCAGTTATTCAGTTAATTTACTTTTCTTCTCTTATAGCATTGGCTAGGATCTTTAGTATATTGTAAATTGTTGTATTATTGTTGACTTAAAACCTGTTTCTAAAATTTGTATTGCATTCTTATGGGAAGTAATAAATGCTTTATACTATATTTGGATTTATTAAAACTTCCAAAGTTAATTTATTTTTGTAAACAGTAAATAATATTGATGAACATCTTTTTTTTTTAATGTTGAGTTCTCAGTCTTTTGCTTAAAAAAAAGGAAATATGAAAAACAGACTACTGGTTTTATGTTTTATTACATGGAATAATTACATTTATGACTCACACAAAAAAGTACTTACTTGAAAAAAATATTATTTTATGCTTTTCAGCAACTGCTACTCTTTGAACAGAATTTTAATAAAATGTCGGTAATATTACCATACATACTTAACCAGTTTAAAATAACAATGTACAAGTCTTTCAATATCTCTATTCTCTTCTAGAGTATAAGTAGGCATTTATACTTTGTGTGTGTGTGTGTGTGTGTATATATATATATTATACATATATACCTTATACAAAGTATATATATTATATATACTTTGAATGTTTACTCAAGAGTTCATCTTCCTGGTTCTTATTTACTGTAGAGCATTCCATCAATTAAAGTATACATAATGTGAGATTTTATTATTAATAGTGTGAAATTAAAACATATCCTGATGTCTTCTATTGATGTACTTGCATTTCTCCTTCATTTTACTCTTAACTGTGGCTGTTTGTCATTCTGAATATTATTTTATTAAATGGTGATCACTAGGTCTTTCCAGAAAAGTTCTAATATATATTACTACTTTTAAAGAATTGTTTTCTAGGTACTTGAAAGTACTCTAAGTTAATGAGATATGAGTTTTGTTTCCTTAGTTCATTGGAAATCTTTGGTATATTTGTTTATAAAGGAGCTTCTAAGTGTTGTTCAGTTATCAATCATCTACATTAAAGAATTTTCCCTAAATATTTAGTTGTTTTTCTTTTTCATTTTGAAGTCTTTAACTCATCCAGAAATACTCTTGGCATACAATATAAAGTATGGGATAACGTGAAATTATTTTTTCCATATACACAGGCAGTTGTCCCAATATAATTTATTTTGTGTTTTGCTTTTCTCATCAATTGAACTGCTGTGAAACTTATGTTTTAAAATAGTTTTCATGTATTCCACATTTACATTAGGTTCTCTAATATGGTCCACTGGTCAATTTGTTTTTTTATCTGCAACTAAGTTTTTAAATAGTCATACCTAATTGGACAATGTTCTTTGTCTGTTGATCATCTGTCAAATTTTCAATTTCCATGAATAAATGTTAGAGGTTTGATTGACATTTAACTTTGTATAGCTAAGTCAGTGTCAAGAGCATTAAATAATACATGGTATTTCATTTTTTTTTATTGCTAGGTCATCTTAACCATTTTACTGTTTTTCTTGCGTCTTTCAAAAAATCTGATAATTTTACTCATATAGGTCATATAGTTTTTTTGTCTTGTATGTTAAAATTGTATTATAGTTTTTTATAAAAATAAGTTTTATGTTAGTGTATAGATACATATAAATTACTTTTCTGCTGTTGTTATTAGTCAAGCACTTTGTTTAACTATATAATCTCCATTAAATTGTTTGTATATTATTTGGTATGCTCCACAAGAATAGTAACTATACAAAATAGATCTGTTCCCTTTCCTTCTCTGCTGTGCTATCCTGGGCTAGGATTTGCTAAAGATGAGGAAACGATCCTGGGCACGATTCTTCCAGCTCTTTCACTTTAAGGATGAATTATTTTTATGAATAGACTTCAGGTTCAAGAGGCTTCCACCCAAACCACATTTTTACTAGTTGTTACGATGTTTAAATATTAAAAATTCCAGTAAATACCATTTTGTGCATCTGATAAGAAAGTCTTTTCAAAGATTCATTAGAAGTATCAATCAATATGGTGAATGATGCTGAAATGTTTTTCTAATGTAAAAATTTCCTTTAAATTTGAAGATAAACCCAGCATGGTTACCTTGAGACTTAACAATCATTTTATATACTGTTAGGCTACTTTGCCATTGTTGGTAAATTTTTAAAACATCCCTGATTGACCTACATTTCTATTTCTCAGGCTCCTTTTTAGGTTCAGTGATAAATTTACTAAGTTTGTGATATGGACTGCGTTGTTCCTCTTCTCTGGTAGAATTTTTGTAATATCATCTGAATCATCAGGACTTGGAGTTCTTTCTGGATGGAGTACTTACAAATCATGGTTTTGGTTTCTTTATTATTTAGTAAATCTACTCAGATCTCTTTCTGGAACAGCTTTAGTGAGTTCTGTGATGGCCGGTAGAGTTTTCTAATTTTCAAATGTATAGAAGGGCTTGATAAAACTCTCATTCTTAACATTTAAACTTCTGCTTTAGCTGTGATCCTCATCCTCATTTTTACTTATTCTGTTCTTTTTTCCTTCTTGGTAATTTTCTCTAGGGAACATTCTAATTACATTATCTCCCTCCGTGTGTGTGTGTGTGTGTGTGCGTGCGCGCGCGCCTCTCCTTCTCACTCCTGGCTACTTTTCACTACAACTTAATTAGGTCCAGACTCATACCTCAATTCATGCTGTTTAAAATTGGCACTGATCTTCTTATCTACAGACATGTGAGTCTAGCTCTGGAAAACCACCTCACTGGATGCATTGTCTTTACTACTGCCTACATTATCTTGTGGAATTGTGTTAGAAATGTGTTTGGGCCTTTTGATTTGCCTTCCTTAATAATGAATGACTTTAATGGAATCCTCGTTTTCTGAATTCCATATAAAATGTGTTCTTTCCAATGAGCTTTTAAATGTGATGCATACTTTATAAGAAGTTCACACACACACACACACACACACACACACACACACAGACACATACGTTTTTATTTCTTTCAACATTTTTGTGCCTACAAACACTGATTTCATGTTTCTATCGGAATTTATAGCATTTTGCTGTCTCTTTTGGATCTTTCCAATTTCTATGTTGTGTGGAGAGATCCATGCCTTGAGTAGCATTTCTCTGCCTTCCCTGCCATTGAGCATCTGAAGATGCTGGGGGCGGGGGTGACAGCTACTTCTTCATCTCCATGCCTAGTTCTCTCCGCACAAGGCTTCAAAGCTCCCCTTCCAGGTCCAGGTCTAGCAGCTTGGCTGCCTCTCTCAGAGAGTAAATGTACGGCGTGGCCCACATCACGAGGTATGCTGGTGTGCCATGTCCCTGTCTCCTAAGGTGCCTCTAGATGAGAGGAGATTTTGTCAGCATCCTTTTCTTAGTAATATCCAGCCAGGGTTCATTTCTCAAGATGGAAATTTGGCTGACTTCCTCATGTTAAACAGACACATTGAAATACCTCAGGATTTAAACTCCTGACTACCACTCGGTGCTCCTGCTTGACAGCTCCTGAAGTTCATTTCTGTTTACCATCTCATATTTGCATCTAACAACCAATGTTGAAGTTATGAGATGTGAGTTAATCCCTCAAGGCAGAAATGAGTGGGTCTGACCTATAACTGAAGTTAGGCTAGCTTCCCCTCTGCGTGGTGGCATTTATTTTGAATCCCACATACGTGAGCATGCTATTCACAAAGACTGGGCAGAGCCCTAATCTCTTCTTTGGAGGGAGTTCTCCCTTCTGAGTCACATTTTCAGGGACTTCCTTTATCACAACCTATGCTTCAAGTGCTTAGCACAAACATGGAACTAGAACTAGTTTAAAAATCTAGTTTTAAATCTATCTCTGCTACTTACTTAGGCCTATTATACACCTTGAGAAATATTTTGCTGCAATGAAACTTTAATTTTTCAGCTTATAACAAAATTATGAAAATTAGACGGTATTTTACCTGTAAAAGCACAAGGAAATGATTAGGAGCCAGGAGAAGTGCTCTTTGTCCTATGTAGAAAGAAAGTACTGAGGCTGTATCTGGAACCCACTCACTGTGTGATAGCTTAGGTTGTTTTAGGGAGCTGTTTGTGTGTCTGTGTTCCTTCAACCATATTCAACTATTCCTTCAGCTACCATGTATGGGTCCAGCCACATAATGTGGCATCATAAGGCCAGATCCGCATATGCTTTAACACTCTTCTGATGTGGAAGGTTTAGATGTGACTAACGCATAACTGTGATGGCAGTAACACAGATAGAAGTAACCCAGAGAAGAGTAGAACGCAGTCGCCGATTGAAAACTGTCACTTTGCTACCACTTTTCTTTATGCTGGTGTTTTCCTGGTGTATGTAAGTCATGGTATACTTGGAGGACTAGGGTATACCAACAAATCAGAGATCTCCACACCTTCTGTCACAAACACGAACTATTTGGAAAGTTCTGTCTATATACTTTTGAAAACTAAAATTCCGAAATATAACATTTTTGTTTTTGAGTCTTTAGTTTTGACCAACAACCTGCCTTGTTCCTCTACTGTATCCTCCTGTCTTGTAGGAGATAAATATCTTTAGCAAAGAAAAAATCTGTAGGTATAGATGCTAGCTCTGGCTAGTCCTGTGCTCCCCAGGCCTCTAATTCTGGTCTTCATATAACTACAGACTTACTTATAAGATGACAAAAACAATGACTGATGCAGCCAGCTATCCTATAACCACTATAGAATGGTATCGCAGTTCAGAAACAAACAAACAAACAAACAAACAAACAAACAAACAAAGGAGCTGAGCTAAGTATTTTGCTGCTTTTATTGCTTGACCGAGTATTGTCAGCCATAGAATGGCTTCAGATGCTGCTGTGAGCCAGTTCTGCAGACTGAGGAATGACCTGTACTCCTCGTAGTCATTTAATGATATTCTTGAGAATTTTATTTTCTTCCCCTTCTCCCATTTTCTTTCAAACGTACATTAAAATATCTTTCTAGTTTAATCATTGCTCTTTTCTAACTAGGCCATCTTTCTTAGGGATAAATGTCTTTGGCAAGTCTGAGCTATGCCTGCATGCTGGCCTTGCTATTGGGGCCTAAAATAGCAAAGGCAGGGTAAAGCAGGGGGCAGGAAGTAGGAAGGAGAGTGAGCATGTAACACCTGCCTTTCCAGATGGCTACTTCTCAGTTGGCTTTGACTTCCATTGACTTGGCTAGTCTGTGGGCCGGACCAGGCCAGGCCTTCTGTGCTGGTTGACTGTTCTCATAGTCCATTCATTCTCATTATGGTCACTCTTTTCATTTGCTACCGTAGCCAAGGGAAGAATCAGTTGTGAAGTCGGGGTGTAGGCTGGGAATACAGCTCAGTTAGTAGAGTGCTTGCTTAACATGCGTCATGTCTTAGGATTGCTCCCTGCAACCTCATAAATGCCATGGTGGAGCAGGTACTTGGGAATTGGAAGAAGGAGAATCCAACGTTCAGTATCATCTTCATACATAGTGAGGTAAAGAGTCCAGATTAGCCTGGGCTACATGAGATGACACCTCGTGTTATGTTTACCGTTCATGTGGAAACAGCTAGTAAGTGCTTTCAAACCTAAGCAGTATAGTTCTATATTTTTAAGATAAAACTACCTGAAAGTCATTGTTTTTCTTCTTTTCGAAGAAAAGACTTGTTGGCCCTTGAGAAATCAGTACTCCTAGTACGCTCTGTAGTTCAGCAGATGTATTTAAAGAACGAGCACTGGCAGTGCTGACAGTCTCCACTGCCTTGCCTACTTGGGATTTCCTACAACTCTGAACCTTTCCCCCATCTTTCTCACAGCAAACCTTGAAGAAAAAATGGGTGGAGTTCAGGTCTCTGCACTTACAGGAACAACGCCTGCTTCATGGTAAGCTCAATTTCCTGTCAGGAAACCACATACTCATCACACCCTATCAGTATCTCTGCCTCCAAATATTTTAAGAGTATGACTCTTACAGTAAACATTTGCTTAGCAGCAATGAAGGGTATTGGTCTGTGTTTTGCTGGAATGAACAGTGGACTCAACTCTGTGTTTGGAAGAGGCTGACTCAAGCTACACTCTCTTCTACACACACAGTACATATGTGCACAGGAAAACATTCATGGGTGCAGGAATGCATATACTTGCAAGAGGTGACCAAACATTCCAGAAGATCTGGAGGAAACATTGCCTGCCTTTTGTACCACATCAAGCCATGAATTAGATTCCTGAGAATGATTTTCTCACTGAGGCCACTCAAACTGGAAGAGCTGCGTACCTTATAGGTAGAGTGTCAGCAGTTTTCGAAATTACATTAAGTTACTTATGCCGAGAATCTCAGGACCAAGACAGACATGGAAAATCATTATGTTGGTAAGAGGCATTTGCTATCTATGTGTTTGGTTGCAAGGAGTTGATCTAGTTAGCTGTTACTTCAAGAGTGAACTTTTTTGAGAAGTCGGTTGAACCAGTGTTCTGCTATAGTGCCCTGCCTATTCTTGTTGCTCATCCTGTAACCCAAACTAGATTCCTCATGTCTCAGGCCCCCAAAGCACTGAAGTTTCAGGTATGCACCACCACAGCCAGCAGAAAGGAACTATATGCACAAGTAATTTACTGGAGTCACTAGCTGTGTGGGCTGGAATGTAGGTCATCTCTTCTTTAGACAGTATTCAGTTAACCTCTATTTGACATCTGAAATACTTGCTCAAATGGCGACTACTTTGCAGAAAAAGATTCAATTTAAAAATTATTTAAAATGGAGTCATGAAGCCATACAAACTGTACTTATTCATGAATTTCATGTGATATGTATGAGATATGTTGTGATGATAATATAATGGGCCTTGTATGATGTTTAAGTCAAGATAAACTAACTCCTCAGGCATTTGTTTAGTCATTCATTTATGATTTATTGATTTATTTTGGTAGTAAAAGCTCTTAAGCTACCTTGCTTGTAGGTTTTAGAGGTTTACAGTAGATTCTTGTTAGTTGTAGCCAGGTGTAACACACCAAAGCTCTCACTCCAACTGAATTGTAACTAGTGCCCTTGGATCAAGGTTTCCATTCATCTCTCTCCTTGCTATCGCCCTGCCCAGCCTCAGGTAACCTCCGTTCTACTCTCAACAGTTATCAGACCAACATTTTCAGATCATGCATATAATGAGATAAATTCATATTTGTGTTTTTTGTACTCAGACTCTTTCACCTAACATGTCCGTGTCCGTACATGCTATCACAAAGAATGACATTTTAGTTTTTATTTTTTATGGGTAAATGGTACTTCACTCTGCAAGTACAGTATTTTCTTCCTCCATTCATCGGATGACAGATGTCTGTGTAGATCCCATGTTTTGGCTACTGGGAATAAGGTGAGCGTGCGAGTGCGGGTTTTGTGGATTCACCGATTCCGCTCCCTATAGACATATATGCATTACTGGCAGTAGCGCATTGTGTGGTGGCTTGGTATTTGGTTTTTGTGGGGCATCCATAGTCCATACTGTTTTCCATGGTAGATGAACTGTGTGAGGGTTGTTTTGTTCTCCACACCTTTGCCATTGTGTCTTTTTGGTATAAGTATTCCTAAGAGGATGAGGTGACTATCACTCTGGCCTTATTGTGCTTACTAGTTGAGCACATATGAAAAATGCTATTATTTTTCATATCCTTTCGGCCAATTTCACGACCTCTTTGACATATATCTACTCAAGTCTCCTCTACATTGTATCTTATCGTGCTTTATTTTTCTGCTTTCTGAAGTTCCTTTGTATCCTTAACTATCATATAGGCACTGATTCCCAGTTTAGAGACTTGCTTTTCAATTTTTACTAGGCAAGCTTGAAACTTGGACAGTTCACTTCTCTTTTTAAATTGATTTACTCTGTCTGTGTGTGTCTATGCTCTCACACACAAACTCACACGGCCACACACAGTTTGTGCCACAGTGTGTATGTGTGAAGTTCAGGGGACAATTTGCGAGAGTCATTTCTCTTATTCTACCATATGGGTCCCAGGGATTGACCTCAGGTTATCAGGTTAGCCCTTTCTAACTGAGTCATCTGGCTGGCCCACTTTTCGTTTTTATATACTGAGCTATATCATACCACATTTTGGAAAATCAGAAAGTTTTTTTTTTCTTTTTTTTTTTTAGTGTGGGGGGGTTGTTAGTTTACTTTTTTCAGATCATTAAGTTTTTATTTTATTATGTTTTACAATTTATCCACTTTGTATCCCGATTATAGCCTCCTCCCTCATCTCCTCCCAGTCCCACTTTCCCTCCCCCTTTCTCCCCTAATCCCCTCCCCCAGTGCACTGAAAAGGGGGAGTCCTCTTTCCTTACTATCTGACCCTAGCCTTTCAAGTCTCCTAAGGACTGCCTGGATCCTCTTGAGAGACAGACTTCCTTGCAGCCTTCTTGCTTAACTTCCTGGTTTTCTTAGACAAGGGGTGTTTCAGAAGCCTTTGCTGACCTACCGAGGCTTCCTGAACAGCTCAGGGTACAGCTTATACAAGTACAGGAACAGTCTTGAATAGATCTAATATCAGGAGCTAAACTGTTGCACATTTTTTGAGGGACTAGAGGTGTTCATTCATCTGATTTTTCTAGAACTAGAGGAAGAAGCCAGAACATGAGGGTCTATAAAGCAATTGCTTTTTCATCCAGATTTATCAGCTCACTGTAAGATGAAACCCAGCAGGTTGTAGTGGCACAAAGGAAAGCCTTATGCTTTCCTTATGCAGGCTGGCTGCTTGGACTCATAGATCAAAAGGAGTTAGAGCAGTGTCTCTTTCTGCATTGTCAACCAAACATGCAGGAAAGCAGAGGAAAGAGGTCTAACACAGGATACCTTGTGGAGAGACTCTTCTTGACGCAGACTCAGATTCTCAGTTACGCTTTTTTGAGCACACTCGCTGACCAAGTAGTGAGAAGCTGGGGCGGCAGGGCAGAATGTGACTCATCAGTCAATTTGGGGAACCCATGTGTGGTTTCTGAAGCACCGATGGAAAAACTCGGCCAAGCAGATAGAAATCAGTTTTCTGAGGACAGAGATGCTTTCTATGCACAGCTCCATTCTAGAATATTCAGCTATTCTAGGAGGAAATGTGAAATATTGAGACTGGAACATGTAGTTGATTTCATAAGCCCCTTTCTAAGCACATGTTCTGACTTGTAACTGTTTTCCCAATATACTTTAGATGGCTTTATAATAAAGTTATAAAGTTGTGATTTTTTTTAAGGCAACTAATCAGAAACAGAGAAGAATTGTCTGAGCGTTTATTTTGACTTAAATAAACGTCACATTTTCACAGCAGTTTCCACGGTTACACAATTTAAGAAATTTAGCACTTGGAGGTTCCCATTGTCATAGCGCCAGTTGGGCTGAACTGATTTCATATCAAGTATGCTGAGGTCTGCCACTAAGGTAAATCAGCTTACAAAAACAGAAGCTTATTTGGCTCCGTGTTTGAAGGTTTCAGTCCATAATGAGCTGGCTTGGGTCTTGGATGGCACATCATGGCAGAAACACTCAGTAGAATAAAATTGTTCTGTTAGTAACTGGAGAGTGAGCAGAATAAATGGGCCAGGACACAGAAGTTTTAACCCAAGACCATGTCCCCAGTGACCTAAATTCTCCCTGGAGGTGGCATCTTTTAAAGTTTTTACCGTCTCCCAATAGCATCACCACGTTGAGTCTCGTGGAGGACATTCTATATCCAAGCTATGGGCGTCATGACTTATCTTTTAAAAATGTATTCTAGGTTATAATTTTCAGGATTCTTCCCTTAGGAACTGGCTTACGAATGTCAGTTTGGATAACCTCCCTAACCATATTTACATGCAAGTAAAAACTCAGGCCAAAGTATTTTGTCCTTTCTCTCTTGGGGTCTTTAAAGTCGCGTGGGCTTTCTTGTAGTCGCATCCATCTCACGCTAGACCCTTCTCTGTATTGTAGGAGATGCAGTAAACGCCCCAGATTTGGAAAGTATGGACCTGGATGAGTCGTCCTTGTTTGGAAACCTGCTAGGGCCAGGGCCAGCCCTCCTGGACCGGCACCGATTGTCCAGTGAGAACAGCTGTAAGAGCCGGCTGAGCTCCCTGACGGTGGACAGCGAGGACGGCTACCGGACAAGTGTTTCTGAGGACTCCAGCCGGGGCGCCTTCAGCCGGCAGACCAGCACGGAGGATGAGTGCTTTCTCTCTAAGGACGGGGACGATTTTCTGAGAAACGCTTCTTCCAGGAGAAACCGGAGCATCAGTGTCACCAGCACGGGGTCCTTATCTCCCTTGTGGGAGAGCAATTACTCAAGCATGTTTGGGACTCTGCCCCGGAAAAGCAGACGGGGAAGTGTCCGGAAGCAAATTTTGAAATTCATCCCTGGCCTTCATCGTGCTGTGGAAGAGGAAGAGAGTCGCTTTTGATGGGCGGCAGGGACCTTTCGCCTCGGTCTGTTTCACAATTCTCTCTCCACCCGCCTGGATGAACTCCACCTGGCTTAGTGGGAAAGTCCACACCGACTGCTGATGCTCACATTCCCATTACACAACACCGTTGACCTTTAAGTTCTTATATTGTTATGTTTTGAATCTTACATCAGTTTTTTTAGCTCAAGTTCTAAGCAGATATCAGGGGAAGAAAGCAATAAGTTAGGTAAAATAATCATATGCTCGTTCATTCTAATGCTGGCCACAAAAGCACAAAAATATTTATTTTACTGGCTATGCTCGTAAAAAGCAGAGAACTTAGAGTCAAGTGTGAATATGGAAGGGCAGAACGTAATCACTGGGTTGCCTTTCATAGGTTAATTTGGTAAAGTACAAAATTCCATGCTTGCTTAATGCTCAGTAGCCTCTGGAGAAGCCTTCACAAGAAAGAATTAAAGTTTTTTTATTTGTTTGTTTGTTTTGTTTTGTTTTGTTTTTTCAAACTTTCAAAGGATCATGAACAAAGATGACCATAAACAAAGGGATAGCAAGTGTGAGGCAGGCTTGGGACCATGACCCCAAGCTCCGGTCCCCCCCGCCACTTTTAAACAAAATGAGTGAGAGTCTCATTATTTTTTGCCCATTTCAATTTCTCTTCTGCCTAAACATGGATGCCACACTCAGAAATCTCAGGATCCCATAGATCTGTGGTTTATTTTGCTGCAAACGTCCAAAATACTGAAGATGAGAGTAGGAAAAGGTGTTCTTCTCTCATGTTTATTTTTTTCCTGCTGCTTCTCATAAAAATTCCACATGGGTGTCATCTCAGCTCCCTCACTTTCCTGTTAAAAAGATGCTGTTATTGTATTCTCGCTTTTCAGTCATTCTCTATTTTATTTCAACACCCATTAAAGTCTTTGTTCTGGTAATGGAGCTGTTAGTTACCTATATGCTAAAGTAAACAGTCTGAACCTATATGCTAAAGTAAACAGTCTGAACCATATGATAAAGACTTAAGTTGATTCTAGCTGTGTGTGTTTGTGTGTGTGTGTATCTTCAACAGAATTGCTACATTTAAGTGAATTTCGATTTGGCCTATAGAAAGCAATTTTTGAGAAAATGGTGAGGTAAGAACGTTTGTAGGATATCAAGTATCAAACTAGTAAAATATGTATCTAGGTGGGACCTGCTGTCTACAAACTCCCTAAATTAAGACACCGTCTTGTGTGTGGGTCTCATGTAGCATCCTTCTCAGGCATGCCAACAGTCCTGCCTCGCAAAACATGGAGTGTCAGGCCGGCTAAGAGCACCATACATGTGATACTGGAACAACTGGAGACAGGGTACAAAACATAAAAAAATAAAAAAATAAAAATAAAAGAAAGAAATCAGGGATGCAGTTGCTATGGTCACATGGCTCCTCTGTGCCCTGGCCGAAACTGAAAGCCATGTCTTCTTGTCCAGCCAGTACACTTGGTCTCTTTACACAGCCTAACTCTTTTGCTGGTTTTGAAAAGGCCATGGATATGTCTTCTCTAGAAGGTTTCTATTTTTATTTTCATTTATATTATTTACAGTGGAAATTGGCAAAGACCGGGCTAATTTCTGTTGAGACTGGTCGGTTCTCTAAGTCATAATGCACCACATTAATGGAGGGACAATACCCTCTGTGCATGCCTTTCTGCCCCAACCATGGGAATGGTTATGTCCTGATTGTATGCTGCTCACTCCAGCAGGGTAATCGACCCCCAGCTCTGTCCATGTTTGAATTCAGTTCATTAGCTACTGTCCTCGACCTCCTTCTGTTAGCTGATAGCCTTCTAGTAGTTGATATTGTAGATGTATCGCTGTCTGATAATTTGTCATCACATTTATATGATCAGCTTGCAGTTTTATTGTGGCAGGGGGCTAAGTCAATCCCAGCTACCAAGGTGTAGCTGCAGCCGTCCTTTTGACTTTATTTTTTTAGCTGTTTGCTCATGGGGTGGTCTTCTTTCTCAGCTAGATGGAAGCATCGTGTTAGACGATCTCTTTACTCACAGTTTAGTCGGTCACAGATGAATCAGAAGCAAGACTGTATGAAAGGGTAACTGCCTTGTGTATGTTCCCTCAGTGCTAAAATTGCAAGGGATTGACCTGGCTAGGGCAATGGGAAAAAAGCAATAAAAGACACAAGTACAGAAAAGCTGGATGTAGTGAGCCCTATCCTCTGATGACCATGTGCCAGCATCCAGGAAACTCAGCATTCCACAGCTGAGCAAGGAGGCGGGTTTACAATGTACAGTGGAACAAGGGTGCAGTTTGAGAAGAGGTCTCTACAGGGGAGCAGTTTAACACTGAAGTCATCCCTGAGGAGAAAGCTGTAATGATACTTTCACACACTGTCAACATCTGTGTTCAGACCAAGAGAAGGCCTTGCCATTGCTGTGGGGTCTTTTGACATGGCAGTACTCATGTCAACAGCATACATTCGTTCTAAACTTTATCCACTCCCCAGAACATTGGCTATTCGGCCTGCCAATACTGACATTACTACCTAGAGTGTGTCTGTTTTTGCACCTAGTCAACATGTATCTCATATTCAGCTTCCAGCTCTCTTCTTCATCTTCATTGGCGCTTTCGGCCTAATGGTTTCAACCCCAACCGTCATTTTGACCCCAGTATCTGTTTTGACCTTTTCCTTTGTGAACAACAAAGAATCTTCACCATGAGCTCGATTCCCTTACTACCTGCAGAAATAGCTCCCACCTCACCTCTATACAGTTCTCACTGTAATACTTTTAATTCACCTGCCAGGAAATATTACAACATAAATTGTAGACACAGCATAGAAAAAAATCATGTTGTCTCTGACAAGTAGGAAATCAAACATTTAAGGTGATCCTTTTCTTAGCTTTCATTAGCAAGATTTTAAATATAGGTACAATAGTACCTAAATGCTACAATACATTTTTTTTTACAATACATCAATTAATTTCAATACATTAATGTTTTCTTAAGAGCTAGTAAACCAATTGCCATTCATCTAGCACATCCTTTTTTTTCTCATCTTCAGCTTTACAGGAACACAGCATCTTAATCTTACTCATGAAGTACAGGGAAGATGCGTGCATTTATTTGGGTCAGGGTGACATTAAAGTTTCTTGAATGTGAAAACCCGTTTCAGAGCTATGTTAAATCATCTGGAAAAGCAGAGCATACATAGGTCACCAGTTCTTTTGTGGCTTTAATGCAGAAGTGCAAACTTCTGTCAGTAAATGTCAGATGCAAAGTGGGGACAGGGAAGGGACAGAGCAAGTATCAAGTTCATCTGTACTGGGAAGAATTAGCATCGAAAGGTAGACATGTATTCTTGGGTTTGTGGGAGAGGAAGCGAAGCTGCTTAACCAAGGCACAGGAAAGAAGACTTGCTGTATGCTTGGTGTTCAAAAGCATTTTAATGGAAATGTGGGTGAATTTCACATTACATTTTAGTCTGCATCTGGCCTGAGTGGGACATTAGGGAGATGCTTCTGTGACTCACTTGGATATAATTTATAAGGAAAATAATTTAGAAGCAGTTTTACATTTTTTTTTTTAGTTTCAAAGTTGTCAAGTATGTAATTTTGGTGTATTAGAATAATTGACAATTTGTCATGAAAATGCTGTTTTCTAAAATGATGTCTGATAAACTAATTCCGAGTTTTGCATACTCTGAACTGCATGTAGTTAAAAGAATGTGGCATCAAACAAATAGGAAATGTATTTTTTCCTTTTTTAAAAAAGATTTTTCTTAATTTATATGTCTGAGTGTTACTTCTGCATCCACGTATATGGCTGGTGCCTCTGGGGATCAGAAGGCATCTGATTTCCTTGGAATTAGATTTAAAGATGGTTGTTTGCCTCTGTGTAGATGCTGAGAACTGAGCTTGGCCCTCTTCAAGAACAGCCACTGCTTTAAGCACTGACCCATCCTTCCAGCCCCAGGAAATGCATTTTAAAAAAAATAACAAACTTTAACTCAAAACATTCTATTTTTAATACTTTCCTATCTTAAGTGCATGCTACAAATGATAACAGAAATAACAGTCTGAGTCAAAGAAACTGAACTTGGATATAATTTATGTGCATTCATCAAGAAGTATATTTATGCATGTAAACAATGTAGAATAACTAATATGCATCTAGTCTGAGCCCTTCAGGTCACAAACACTGTTGCTTGCTGTCTACTTGCATACAGAATTACGAACTACAAAATAAAAATATTTATTTTTAGAAATAAAGAATGCCTGCTTTGGATATCAGCATCCCCCCTCTCTTTTCTGCTCTTCCTTCTTTATTATAAGTTAAAAGTTTGTTTTAAAGGCAGATTTAAAAACATCTGAGTGACTTCTTGAGGTTTCTATGATGCCATTTGTGGTACTCTGGATTAGACTGGCCCCTACAGGCTCATGTTCCAATACTTGGTCCCCAGTTGGTGGAACTGTTCAGGAAGGATTAGGAAATGTGTCTTTGTTGGAGGAGGCATGTCAATGGGTGTGAGATTTGAGGCTTTCAAAAGACTCAGTCCTGTCCCATTGTTTTTCTGTCTTGTGCTTGTGCTTCAAGATATGGATTCGTAGCCTCTACTCCAGAGGTAGGCCAGCCTGCCTGCTGCCATATTCCCCACCATGTTAGTCATAGACTCTAACCCTCTAAAACCGTAATCCCCAAATTAAATGTTTTCTTTATAAGTTACTTTGTTGGTGGTGTTTTTATTACAGCAATAGAAAAATTAACCAAGACAGGATTAAAAGGCACCACAGTGTTAGGGGCATAGATAGATCAGGGGAGAGCTGTTGCCTAGTATGAGCAGGGATCTGTGCTCAATTCCATTACCTCAAATAACCAAATGACACTTTTTTTTAGAGAGTTTACAGTCATTAATTTTTAACCACTATTCAAAAAATTGTCACAAATGTAGAGCTGGGTCACATGTCCAGGAACAATGATGGGTATGCTTAGTATCTCAGAGACTTATAGTTAAATGATTAACCAGGTTCGAGTTCTCATCTGAAGTCTAGAGTGGGAAATCACTTGTAAACTCTTGTTTGTCGTCAGAATATTGTCCCGGTGGCCATATGATGCTAGTCATCTTATTTCTTAAAGCCATCAATGGAAAGGAAGGGAGAGGCCACGAGCAAGGCAGAATCTCAAATAACTCAATTTAGTCATGGATGATAGACAATAACCTTCGTTGTATGCTATAACCACTGAAATGTCTTCCCATGCTCTTGGCCAAATGATGTAACATAGGCATGGCATCCTGCCACTTGGGCTATTATCAGAGTGGGATCATAGAGTACCATCCTATGAAGGTGTGTGCCTTTTGTTAGAGGCAAGAAATATCCTCCACCTTCTAGAAGCAGAATATTTTTCATTTACACATTTCTAAAAATTATTTTTACTTACGTGTCTGTGTAAATAAGTGCATGTCACCTCTGTGACATAAACCACCCACATAAACCAGAATAGTGGGTCATATACCCTGGAGCTGGAGTCATAGCATTTTGAATGACCTGATGCAGGTTCTGGGAATTGAACTTGGGTCCCTCTAGAATAGCAACAAGTTCCCCTAACCACTAAGCTACCTCTCCAGGCACTTGGAGCAGGAATTTGAAAGAGGCACAGACATTAGGAGGTGGGAATAGGTAACCCTCACAGTGTCTAGGGGCAGCACCATTCAAAGACTCTACAAACTGAGCAGCGTGAAAGTGTTAGGATTTCCTGAAACCATTTTGAGTGAAAACAAGATGTGGGTGTTACAATCCTAATTTTAATATCAAAGAATTGTCACATTAAAGAATTTTAGAATTAGTCACAAAAATTGAGCAGGCATCTAGAGCCAAGGCCATTGTTGACTTTTTGGTTCTGTCTTCAGTGTGTATGGAATGGCAAGAGGCTTTAAAGAGTGGCTGTGGTTGGAAGTGCTTCCCTTCAAATCCTCCTTAGTTTATCTGAGCTCAGTGACAGTTGTGCCTTTACAAGCAAAAGGGAGGAAAGATTCATAGACATGTAACCAAAAAAAAAAGGTATGTGTTATCAAAATTATACAACAGAAAACAAAATGTTCAACCATGAGCAAAAGTCAGACACAGTGG